TCGTCGTCTGAAGTCGACGAGGCTGCCTAATGACCCGAGTCTCGCGGTTACTAGGGTTTTTCTACGAGACGTAAAATTCCCCTAGATATAGGATACCACCGTTAAGTGGTGAGAATCGGTTGTCGAGGGGTGGCAACGAATGGCAACGACATAGAACGAGTCTGGGGATAAGGGTAGCTACACGGCTGATAATCTTATCAGACTTGGTCAGATCGTCAAGATCGTCTTTCGATGATCGTCCAAGTCACTGTTACCTTTTTTTTGTTCCTAGGGACTTTTTAAAAATCCTTCCTGTTTTTAACCAGGCCACTTCTCAACCACCCTTTCCCTACCGACACACCCTTACTTACTACCACCACTGGATAGCTACTAGACTCTTTTCGGCTTCTATCTCTTCCTACTCTTACCTACCCACCTCCTGGGACAAAGCCACGGTAGTTACAATGGAACTCATCAGGGATCGGGAATAAATTATAGTTGACTACGACAAGAAAAATGATCGGACTGAAAAGTGGAGGCCGTTTGCTAACGATGCCTGTGAAAAGTCGGTTTGTCTCTACGCCCGGCCATCCGGTAGTGGTATCGTGATAGCCTATTTGTTTTTCGTTTTTTTTTTAACATTGGTAAAAGTAAATATTTTTGAATCAACAGACGATCAGTTTACACAACCCTTATACACACGTTTAATTCATATATGTTTTATTGTGTTTAATTAAGTTACGTTTTACACCGATTGGTCTTCGATCACGGTTTATCACTCTATTTTCAAAAATCATTGACGATTCGTATGTACATCCAAAACTAATAAGGGTGGTCGAGTCATCGCACGTGAAAGGGATCATTAATTCGTGTATACAGAGCTAACGAAACGCGCGTCGAACCGTCGAATCATTTTTCACGAAAGAGCCAGCGGGCCACTACCGGTCGGTCCTGCCGATCGATCGACAAATTAAAAATAAAAGGTTCATCGGCCTTTTAGAAAGGGGGTAGGAGGAAGGGTTAGTTGCACCCGGAGGTCATCGACCGTGGGCAACATCCCTTTGGGGCCCCTACGTACCTACAACCAGAGGTAGAAAGGTATCAGGAAAAAAAAAAAGATAGATAAGGGTCGAAGAGGGAGCCGAAGGAGGATAAAAAAAGGCAAAGTAAATTGCTAGAAAGGGAGGAAGGTATCGATATAAAGAGGGTGAAAAAAAGTAGTAAGAAAAAAAAAGCTAAAAAAATTCGAAACAAGGCAGGTGGAAGTGTGGATCGTGAAGTAACGTGGGTGGTTAGGGGGGACGCGGTAGAGGAGGTTATGGAGGTGAAAAGGTACCATATGCCCGAATAATGTTCCACCCGCGCCTGTTATACTCGAGCACACATGTGTTCAGGTACACATATAGTATTAAGTATACACATAATATTATGCCATATAGATTTAAAGCCCACGTTCTCATCTCCCCAGCCCCCTTCACCCTCTTCTCCTACGGTAATTCTTACCGATCAGGGGTGTTAATGATTTCCTCTCGGCTTGATGATTCCTCATCATTTCCATTAGGTCAGGTTATAGGTTAGGTTGGGCTAAACTAGCTAATACGCAGACTGGAATGAAGAGAGTGGAATTTTCGTGGTTTCCCGAAGGCTTGAAATACGCAGCCGACGACCTCCCGTCATTAATGCTACTTTGGTTAGGCTGTACCAGCGGCGCGCACGGTATTCCGTCGGGACTACTGATGATGACTGTACCGCGTACACGTATGCACCGAGTGCACACAGACGTTTGCGAAATTTCGCGCGTACGTACGTTCGCCAGGGGGTAGAAATCATTAAAGGGGCGTGGCGTGCTGGTGGTTGCCCGGATGACGGTCACGTGAACCAACATGGCCGACCCCCGGGCAGGCTCTCTCGCCCCCTCTTTGCAACAGTCATTTGTTATCGGCCATTTTATTTTAATGATTTCCATGCATGCGTGAAACGCTTCGCTGCATCGCGTCCTGCAGCCGGGGATGCCACGGATGTACATCCTCCACTAGGTAACCCATCGACCCTAACCCGATCCTGCACCTTACGAGTTGCCACCGATGCGTCCCTACTGTCTTTAGCCCACGATTTAGCCGCTTACGTCGGCAGCCAATTCGAGCTTGGCTTATCCAGCCCTTCGATAATTAACCACCCTCGTAGCGCAGTCATTATTACGGCTACTCTTTCCTATCTTAAAGTACCACCCTCTTCATTTTCAAAGAGGCCCTCATCCCTCTCTACCAATACGTCACTCGACCCCCTAAACCCGTACGAAAATTCCTCGACAAACTTTCTCAACGCACCCGGTGCATTTAAGGGACGATGCCTCTATAACCAAATGCATGTATACGTATTACCGTAAATTTTTCTTCCCTCGGGAATTCAAATACCTCAAGATGGATATTCGCATCGGGGACGGCGATACGAAGGAAAATGATCGTATAGGGGGATACACGTTAAATCGGAAACACGAGGTATACAACCCCTGCATGCGGGCGTCTGTTTAATGATTTCCAGAGCGGTATTTCGATGACGGGTCAGTGCTGGCGTAAGTGAAGGGCGATGGGTGGGAAGGTGAAGAGGGTGGAATCGGGGGGTGGGGGCTGTTGGTACGGTCGGCTCCTGAAAAGGGGATGGCAGAGGTGGCGCGCGGATCGCGACGTAAATTTTCTAGCGGTGCGTTCATTTGTTCGTTCAACGAAATGCGAATGCATTATACATGGATTGCAGGGGACATTAATTTTCTGCCGTGGACGTGTAGTGGGCCGCGTAACTAACGCGGGGGGTGTTGGGGAATGGTCGAGGGTAGCTGCCTCTCCCGTTTCTCTCCTCTCTCTCTCTCTCTCTCCCGTATGCATACGTACACATACGTGTACACTTACGTACTGTATATTCTATCATGTATGCTTTACTCTCCTCTCTCTCTATCACTTTTATACCCTCGCAGCCCATCTCACTCCCAGGGGGTGTGTGCATCCCCTGCGCAGTCATGGGACACAGAGTGTACACTATCCCGCCCATATACGTGCTCGGCATATCCCTCTCGCGCACCTACGTACGCACACGTGGCTCAGGTCGATGCGTACGAGTTTCCAACTTTTCTCGGAGATTTTGACGAGTGGTTTGTTCGCGATTGTCCGGTTCATATTTTTTTATTTTTTTTTTCCGACTAAATTTCACATCCTCCCACATTTCCTACCACTCGCAGGACTACCGTAAGCGCGTGGGAATCCCTACGTTCGTTCGTGTCTCTTCCGGGTCTGAGGAAGGAAGCGAATGAGAAGAACGAAGAAAAAATTTATCAATGACAATGAACAGAGGGGCCTCTTGGTTTCTCTCGATTTTTCTCATTCTCGAAATACACGAGTAACCGTAATCCTGTAATTAGACGTGTCTCTCTCTCGTGCTCGCGTGCACGTGAGCAGTACGAAAAAATAACGTAATGCTAAAAATATTCGTTTACGGATGACAGGGCGTATACGTGGGTTACTTATACAAAGTACGAGTAGACATACGTGTAACGATCACAAAAGAAGAAACGAAGTAACAAGCAAAGAATTAGCAAGTGGTGGTTCTGGATAAGGGTTGGAGGGGGTGGCTGGAGGGGGATAGGAT